TAACTCCCGCACCCCCCAACCCCAGGTTTGTCCACGGCCTGAAAAGCCATAGTAATGATCTATTCCTATTTCCTGCTCCTTTAAATCTGGTAAAAGTCCAGCAGAAGATTCCAAGAAATGTCATACACAGGTGAGAGTTACCTTAACTATCACAGGCAGAGTTCAGAAGCCTTATTTCCGGCCATCGCCAGGGCTCGTGGAATCTATTTGTTTCTTTTTTGCCAGTAGCTCCTTTCTGTTCTTTGCGTCTAACTCAGTGTGTTGTGATAAATAATGCAGCGCCTTCCCAACAGTTGCCTTAGCCATACGAGGAGTACATTTTAAAAAGAGAACAAGCAGACACAGAAATGGAAATTAACCCCAGGCCTGCCAGCCTCCGTCAGGAATAATGGCATCACGTAATTCCAGGGTTAAATGAGAAGTAGGTGCCTTTTTACTGAGCTGGGCTTCTTTGTCCTTGCTTTAGTGTGTCATTGTGGCACCTGTCATGTAAGGTTAATGACAGCCCCTCATTACCCTTGTCAAATCTGTAATAATGTGGCCCAACAACGGGTCTGAATGGCTTCTGCTTGTCAGACCCCTATGTTTTGCCTAGCAGATGGTCACTGTGTTTGGAGGGGCCCTTGCTCAGATCCATCACACTGATATCCTGAACACGTGTGTGTGCGGGAAGCATTGCCCCTGATGGGACAGTGTGTGGCTAGAATGCTAATGGAGCACAGCACGACGACTTCACCCTCCTCCCTCCCCGAAGCCCCGTTAGATTTCTGTTAGGGAGAGGGGGAAGACGGGCCCTCTCCTGCTTCTCTCCTTCTATTATTTCCGGCGACACGCGACACTTATCAGCTGTGATATGCACCCGTTTTCCCAACCCTTTATTTGGATCACTTAGGATGCAGCACCCATGAAATGTAGACACGTTCTATTCTCGGAGACGTGGAAACAAAGGGGGAAAGAGCCTCCGTGAGGGAAGTGGCAGGGGGCACGCTTTACCGGAAAAGAGCTCTGGTCCAGGTGGCAGGAAACTCGAATTCTAGCCTGTGCCCTTGGGCACAGGCACTCCCCAGCCTGTTTATTCCCCCAGGAAGGTCGCCAGGCTGCAGGAGGTGAGAGACAGGGGACACAAGGTCACACAGGGCAGGGGGTAGGAGGGGAGGATTCTCTCTCCTGTCCCAGGGCTTCCCCAAGGGCCCTTGCTTTTCTCATCCTCAGCGGCTTCTTCCACTTCCTTTCTTCCTTCCATCAGTCACTTCCTTTCTCAGAAATCAACAGTGGCTCCGAATCGCTTCAAAAATCAACTACAGCTCGAAATCACACCTGCAGAATTAGTTACTAGGCAAGCCACTCTTTTCCCACAACTTCTCAGGCTGCACGCATCTCTTCAGACACAAATGTCTCCACATTTTTCTGTGCGTGAGGTTTCTTGGCTTCAAGCCTTCGCTCATGCATGACCGCCCACACGAAACTCTCCCTCTAACCAGATCCTCTTCTTCACAAACGGGAAGACGTCCACCAACCCACCTAGCTCTGATAACCCCTGCTTCTCTAAACATTCCTAAGAAATAAGGAATGTCTTTGTTAGTATACATTCAAACTAATAGAAGTTTAGAACTCTAAGGGAACTTGGAAATCATTCCATGCAACCACTTCATTTTGAAGTTGAAATAGCTTGTGTTGGTCAAGACCAAGTTCAAAGACCTAACGTGATAGCAAGACCAGCACTCAGTTCTTTTGATTCTTGAGTTTTGACTTTTTTTCCACCGTAGCCCATACCCACTCCCTTTATTTCAGTATCTAAGAGCTTGTTGTTCTCATTTGTTTCCTCCCACAGTGGAGTGCAAACTCACTGAGGGGAGATGCAGACTGTCTTCCTTTGTGGTTCTGGAAGAACCTGCACAGATCTGTGGGCACAGGGACACATGGCTGCAGGTCGCACTGCTGATGCTAATCCCTTTTGTAATCTCCACAACATTGAACACTTTGCCAAATTATCCGTTGGCACTAATTTCTTTGTACTAACCCAGCAAATGACATTTTCTGTTTTATCTCTTGAGTGACCCATCCCTGAGGCCAGCCAGTCACTGTGAAGCTATCTTCATGAGCAAAATGTCCTGTTAGGTCTTATGGGGCAGAGAAGCCTACAGTCTAAGACAGGGAGGAGTTGTCCGCGTTGTACTCCATCAGTGGTGGAGAAAACCCACTTCTGCACAAACCTTCTGACGATCTGGGAAGTGACGCTGAAATAAATCAGAACTGTATCCAGCCTTTCCAAGATGGAAAAGGAAATAAATAGACTTCGCATTTGCTGAGTGTCCCGTTTTTCCTCTTTCATCAAATACGTGGAAATTTCCACTTAGGTGTTGAAGAACTTTGCTTCTTAAACCAGGTCTTAGATGACCATAGAATACTTCCTTTTACTTCCAGATATTCTTCCCTCAAAAGTTACTCTCATGCTGTTTCACTTAGATGCATTGTTGCTCAAAATCATGCAGTACATATGCACTGTCTGCACAGCTTTTCTAAGCCATAGGATTATTTCCTCTGAATAGCATCAAAGTTATACTCTGTAATTGCCATTTAGCAATCATGCCTTACTCTCTCAACAGACATTTCCTGAGCACCCGATATTTCAAGTATTATTCTAAAATATAGAAAGAAATAAGACAAAGTCCTTGGTCTTCAAACACTCACTCTCTAGTGGGGAAGGAGGTATATAAACAGAAAAACCTTATCATTCAGTCATATCCTTTTTCTTCCTCTGGTCTAATCCAATCCTCTCTCCCTTCTTATCCCCAAGTCTTACCATCTGCCTTCAGGAGTTCTTGTCCACACTCAGGAATCTTCCCTATATTCCCAAACTCTTATCTGAATGCTGCTTCCACCTCCTGGATCCTTAATTGGCACCCAGCTGTTCCATAAAGATGTGGTTTTCTTACGAGAGGTTCATTGCTTATTTTCTCAAAATACAGTAACTCAGGGCTGAGGTGTGGAGTCAGTGCCCTTCTCCATCCCCACTGCCAATTCTGGCCAGTACTTCTGCTCCACCTTATAAAAATCCAACTCCATCCTATTACTTTGAATCCTATACCATCTGGTAAAACCACCTGTCTCTTCTCAGTGTGTGGTCTGCCAATAATCTCTAGGTAACCAGCTCCTTGTTTATCACGAGCTCTGGATCACACAGAGAGCCACAGAGATGACCTCTTCCGCTCACTGAACTCCCAGTTCCTGGACCACCCATCTTTACTGACTCTTTCCTGCTTTCCATCTCCCTCCCATAGTCACATCCTGGATGTTGCCATAATCAGGAAGGACACTACATATAAAATAACAGAACGAAATAGCCCATTTTCTCCCATCAACCTCCTCCTAATTCACTTGTTGATATATACCCTGATGGCATCATTCCATAGATTTCTACCGTCTATTTTCCTCCCCATTTTCTCCTTGCCTTCTGATCCCGTGAGGATTCAGTGGTAAATCATTATAATCACTTCCTTGCAAAAGCCCTCAATTGCTTTGCCCCAGTTTTCATCCACCATATTTTCCATCCACAATATTTCTTGGCCAAACCCCAAACCGGGATAAATCCAACCATCTGTCTCCCCTGTGGCTACATCTGAGCAGTTGATTGTCGCTGGTGAAAATTATAAACTGGGCAGACAGGTTTGCCTTCAAATGTATCAATATCATTTCAAATGAATACTTAACATGGGCCAGAAATCTATATTTCTCTCATAAGGGTGCCCTAAAAGACCATTCCTATCTCTTCCTCTCTCTTCAGTGCAGTCTCCATCTCCTTTCCCCAAACGTTTCTTGTCTGGAATTCTTGCTCCCTTTCTGGATTCCTCCAATCATTGTTCACACAGCATCCAGAGTGAGTTTTTTCAAATGCAAAACGGATTACATTTGTCTCCTACTGGAACCACTAAAATGATGTCCCACTGCATTGGAACAAAGTGCAAACTCCTCCACGAGGTCTGGCTGCAGCTCACACGTCTGGCTGTTTTAGCCAGAAGGCTGTGTCTCAGGCGCTCTCATGCCAGGTCCACTGCTGCTGTCAGTGCCTTGATCACACCAACCTCTGTCCCCGCTTGGCTGCCACACTTGCTTCTTTCCCTTCCCGTGACTAACTCCCTTTGTGCCTCAGGTTAAACATCCCTTTCCCAGAAGAGTGTTTCCTGAGCCCTCCATTCCAGCCCTTTCCCCCTCAGCTTCTCCTGTGCACACAGTTCTTCCTACTCACACAGCATCATCATGGCTTATGACCTACTTTTACATATGTGATTCGTTGTTTCATTTCTAGACCTTCCACTTGACTCCCTCAGAGAAGAAATCTTGTCTGTTTTGTTCATCATTGTCTACTCAAAATATAATAGAATTATTGCTCCATAGCAATAGAAATATTGGTTGAATGAAAAGTGGTAGGAATGAATTACTGTTCAGAGAGGGCTTTGCCTGAGAAAATTGGAGAAAGTATTTCCTGAGACAGAGTAATGGCCTCCTCAAAGATGTCCATGTCCTAATCCCTGGAACCTGTGGCGCTGTTAGGTTCCATAAGGCAGAGTTAAGGTTGCAAATGGAATTGAGAATTAAGATTTGCTAATCAGCTGACCTTGAGAGGCAGACATCAGCCTGGACTTTCTAGGTGAATCTCATGTGATCTCAAGAGTCCTCAAATGTGGAAGAGGAGGCAGAAGAGTCAGTATCAGAGTGATGTAATGTGAGAAAGACTTGACCTTGTTGCTGGCTTTGAAGGTGGAAGGGGACCACGAGGCAAGGAGTCTAGGCGGCTTCTAGAAGCTGGAAAAGGCAAGAAAATGGATTCCTGCCTAGAGCTGGAAGGAACACAGCCCAGCCGATACCTTGATTTTTAACCCAGTGAAACCCATTTCAGGCTTCTGACCTCCAGAACGAATGGCAAGATCATAAATCCGTGTTGTTTCAAGCTGCTAGTTGGTGGTAATTTGTTATAGCAGCAGTAGGAAAGGAATACAGAAATGAAGTTATGGGATGTAAACTGGAACCAGAGTGAAGACCCTATTACGACGCTTAGCAATGTGGCCCCCAAACTTCCAGAAATGGGGAACACCTTTCCCCCCCTGGTCAGCTTTGTTTCATGGGACCACCCCTCTGAGTCAATGTGGAGGCATTCTGCGTTGGAGGCATATTGCTAGCAGAGGGACCATGTGGAGAGTTCGGAAACATTCCATGTTGAGTGATTAGGAACACCTGAAAGATGGCCCTAGCGAGCATTTTTCAGTCATACATTGTTATTTAGCTTTTAAATTTTCATAAATGTGTGTTTTACTTCTTAATCTAGAATAAAAGTTCCTCAAATACAGCGGCTTTAAAAGATACTGGTTTGTGTCTTTCTGATTCCTAATAATAGCTGCTCAATAAACATGTACTGAGCTTGTTGTGAGTCATGGCCGGCAGATGTCCTCACTCCTCTGGATGTGTGCCAATTTCTCAGACAAAATAGGAAGGGTGCCAAGAATACCAATTGTCAATCATTGGCTCCACCGTCTAGGACTACGATTTTCTAGTCAGTAAAACAGGCATGAAAATAATTCCTCCTCTCCAAATTTCAAAAATGAATTAGACAAACTTGAAAAGAACATCGATGATTGGGAGAGGCAGGCCTTGTTCTCCGGCTCTAAATTCAAAGCAGAATCCTCAAAACACCGTTGATCAGGCAACATCTGCCTGCCTGACTCGGGCTCAACTGAAATCACTGGGACCTTAATTTTCGCCTGCTTCTGAAGAGAATGTGAACAGAGGATTATAAAAAGCTGTGTGGGTGTTTAGTTTGTGACTGCCTTCTTTTACCCTTGTCTAAACTACTTGAAAAAAAATAGGACAGCTGTGGAATGAGCCAGTTCAGCAATCTGCTTCTCGCCTATCATTCTGCCCCACTCTCTGTGTGTTCCTCTGGGAAGGAATCCTGGGGAATAGATGGCAGGAAATCACAGGCAAATTCTAGAACTTCTTCGGGGTAGGAATAGGCAGGGAAAGAACAGTAAAAACTGTCAAATGCCACAGTGGAGCCAGCTACCCCCTTGGGGCTGATCGGGGGAAGCCGGCTTTCCTCCTCGGAGACTGAGGCATTTGAAATTAATTGTTTCCATTTTATACAGAGACTTCACCTGAAATGAAAGAAGTAACACACTCTAGTGTAGCCACAGGCCCCCTTATAAACATGAATACACATACATACATGTATATATGTATATTCCAGAGAGATCAAGCGTTATTATTTAACATGAAACTAAATGACCAGGTATCTTCATACCATCAGTTTTCTAGGTGGTAACACTGTCCCTAGTGAGTGAACAGTATGATCTTTTTATGTTTTTTCCAGGTCCCAAGTCCTGCAGTGTCTTTACTGCAGCATTTGGACACGTCCCGCCTGCAGGTGTTGGACAAGCTGGTAAGTTCATAGTATCCTGTCTGCTGATGGCAGTTCTTCTCTAGAAGGAAATGAATCCCTGGTGCTTCTTGTCCAGAGTAGAGGGATTTAGCTCTGCAGACCCAGGTGTGGGTTATCCACACAACTGCTCCAAAATTGGCCCAGAAAATAATATGGCAAAATCTGCCCAGAAAATTCCAATTTCTTCTTATGACTCTCTCTATGGCTTTCTCTATCTTGGGTCTAACATTTGTTCACCTTAATTTCCTTCTTCCTTCTTGTCCCCATCAGATCCCATGTCCCAGTCCCTTTGTTCTTCTCCTTGTTTTAGGGACACAAGCTGTTCTTACACACGTCTATGTACTCAGTCTTTTTCCTCAACCTGGCGTTCTTGTCTATTCCTTTTCCCACTTGAGAAACCTACTCGTTCTTCACATCTCCGCTGAGATGCTGTCTCTTCTGGGAAGGCAGAACCAAGTTTTAATGCCCCATCCTCACTGATCCAGTCTGATTAAATCCCTACTATCTCTGAGCCTCCATACTTCATTTGCACTTTTATTTTTAGCACTGATTCCAAATTCTGACTTGCGTAATTTGTGTTTTTGTACATCTCTCCCACTAGAGTCTGTGAGACCCTTGGGCTTGGGGTTCTATCAGCTTCATTTTGGCACATTCCACAGAGACTAGAAACATTGCCAGACACACGGTCAGTGTTCAACGACCATAGGGGGCAGTGAAGTGAATCCAAGGCAGTTCCAGGGCCTGTCAGGTCAACCCTTTCCTCTCCTCCAAGCATCTCTCTTTGGAGTGTGTTTCTCAGAGGAAAGGTGGGTGTGGCAGACCTCTTAGGAAACCAACACACAAGAAAGCACTCAGATGGGGAGCAAGGTGGGGCTCACATGAAACTTGGAGGTGACGGGCTGCTGGTGTGTTGATTTCTCAGTTATCCAAACGCTGCTTGAAGAAAGGACAACGCAGATGTCCACTCATGTAAGACAGAGTGCAGCATTCGTGGAAAGCAGAAACTATCACTAAAAAGGTATTGCTTCTACTCTTCATCCCTGAAGGTATATCAGCTTTTGAATTTATAAATTGATGTCAAGTTAGTTTCCAGTCTTTCTTTGCAGGCGTTCGTTTTTAACTGCTCTCTCCTATCTGGAAAGCAGGAGACATTATGTCAAAGTTGTACGTGTGTTCGTTTTTGTCTTCCTCCTAAGGAGAGAAACACCAACTTGGGGACGAGGGTTAAAAAGAGCTAGATGATAACAACAAGCAGCGGTTGCATAGCAATTTGCAGCCTACAGGCCCTTCAATCCGCTGTTTCATTTAATCCTCAAGACAGTCTTGTGAGGCTGGTATTATTGCTCCCACTTTGCAGAGGAGGAAACTTGGGCTAATGATGTTTAAGTGACTTGTCTAAGGTTATATAAAAGCCCCGAGACTGACAGAATGCTCTTTATTCAGAGTAACATAGAGTGAATTGAACTCCAGGATGATTATACTGGAATTTTCGCTGTAATAATATGCAACCCTGACTGACTGCTTACGATGGAGCAGACACTGCTCTAAGTGCTTTACATGTATTAACTTATTTAATCCTCAAACCACCGCGTGAGGTAGGAACGATTATTATTACCCTCATTTTACAGATGGGAAACTGCATCCCAAAGAGGTTAATTATCTCGCTGTTGCTCACATAACTGATAAATGACAGAGTGAAAATTGGAAGCGAGGCAATCTGGCTCCCAAGTCCGTATTCATAACCACTAGAGGTGCCTGCCTCTTGGGGGATATGGTGTCCCTGTGAGTCAGTGACTCTAATGAATAGTAATGGAATGCTTTCATCCTTGTATAAATGCTTAATGTTTTTAATTTGACTTCCAAAATCAACAGGAAACATTTTAGAGACAGAATCTTGCGTCCCTTCTCCTCCTCTCGCTTCTATGCACACCCACTGCCCAGAACTGTGCTCGGTACATCAAGGGTTCAGGAAAATATCTGTTGAATGAATGCAAATAATGTCTTCAATATTCAGTTATCAGTAGTTAGGGAAAATAATTCTGTTGACCAGTTGGATCACCAAACCATGAATTGATTTCGAACTGTTTCTCTGCATTCACGTTGAAACTGTCTTCTCTTTTTCTCTGTTTCTATTCACCCTCTGGTCTCAGTTTATATGTCATTTGCGTTGAGAAGTCTCTCCTCTCCCCCGTCCTATTCCACCACCACCACCAAGTCAGGCTGGCGCTCCTCTGAGGGATCAATTAGCTTCCATATTTTCCCTTTATACAGTATTTGTAATGCTTATGTCAGTTTCCTCTCTAAGATTCTGTAGTATGCGTTCGCACATGCGCACACAGGCGGACACACACACACACAGAGTGATTTCCATGGAGGTAAGGATGGTGTGTTTCATTCATGCTGTTTCTCAGGGGATTAGAATTGTAAATGTTCAAACTGTAGCTATTTGTCGGAGGAGTAAATGAGTGAGGGAATCAACTTTAGCAGCAGTCACCCAGAAGTGTTCTTTGATTAACAGCAATGTATAAACAAAATGTATTGCCTCAGCTGGAAAGTGAGTTAGGTCTTTTGGACACAGTTTTTCTGGCTCTTGAGGGCCATGTGTCAAATGCTGGGTCCCTTCCCATTTTCTTCCTTCGCTTAGAGGGGCTCAGAAAGTGCTTACTGTGGCTCCTGGTTCTTGCTTGTTCGCTCCTATTCCGAAAGTGTTTTGCAGGAACTTGACGTGCACTAACGCTGACTTGGCTTGAGTTTGGATATTCCTGGTGCTGCCGTGAATGTTGTTTTCTCCTCTTTGAAGTGGAGAAATCCGAAGTGATCACACACACGAGAAAAGTTATTTCTTCTTGATCAAAATTTCCAGATTAACTCCTTCCATGAGTTTTAAAATTTTTATGTCTAAGAGCATTCATTTGTTGGATTGAAGATTAGGGATGTAGAAGGGAGGCTAGGAGAGGTCATATCTTAGTGGGACATCGACTGGAAATAAATCAAGTTTGGAATATTCAGTGGAAATTTTGTCTTGAAAGATCCTAACCTTAGAGGGTATTAATATTTCAGCCATATTAATGTCTTAATATTTATTTGCTCTGGCTTATAATTTGGTGTATTTTGCTCTCTGGCTTTTAAACTCTGAATTTGAGAACATACCTGGATTGGCAAAGTAATTTTCTCCTAAACCGTCAGCACTATCCATCTTACCTACATCGTATGCCATAAAGATTTCTGCTGAAGTGATTTACTTCTGATGAGACTTTTTTTTAATGAAGCCAAACTGCAAGGCTGGAAAAAAATGCAGTTTTGGGTCACTGTGTAAATTCAGTGTTGCTCTCTGCCCCAGATCTTAAGTTGATTGCCAAACAGATAAAATTAAAATATACTTATTTTCACAGAAATGTAATTTCTAATATTAAGCAACAATTCAATAAAGAATTTGTAGAAATGTCTTGCTCTTGGTTATAGCATTAGATGTGGTTGGGTCTTTTCTAATGGGATATAATTTATAATTTCCTGGGAATACAATTTTTAGAAATCCATCCTACTCACATATATATACTCAGTGGGGTTTTGCTCTTGACGGATTATTTTTTTTTTCATAAAGTATCTGTCATAATAAATTTTTACAGACTTTTTTGTTTATTTAAATATAATTTCACAGTGTATCGTGATGCTCAAATGAGAAAACTGAAATCATTGTATTTATGATCTTTCTCCATGTTTATCTTTTCTACATTGGCTATTGATATCTGATTGTGTAATAGCACCCTCCCTTTAACTTTTTAAATTCTAAAGGGTTTTAGAAGAGAGGAAAGAGACAGAGACTGCTATTCGTCCCTCAATATTAGCTCTTTTCTTTTAATTTAGCAATAGAATCCCCCGATTTTCCTTGGCTACCTTCAATAAAGACTACATTTCCAAGGCTTCCTTGATAGATGTGGCCAAATGATTATGTTTTGGCCAGTAAGATGTAAGCAGAAGTGTCATATATATAACTTCCATAAAGTATCCTTGTGAGTAAGGGTCAAACTTTGTTTTAAACTCTCTTCTTTCTTCCTGGCTAGAATGTGGATAGGAAGGCTGGATCTGCAGCAGCGCTCTTGGACTATGAGGTAAAGTCATGTGCTGGAAATAAGTAGCTAAAAGATAGAAGGGGGATCCACCTACCAGTCTTTTTTTTTTAATGTTTATTTTTTTGTTGTTATTGGGTTTAAGTTCTTTTTTTGAAATATCTTTTCAGAATTCAGACTTTATTTATTTATAGCCGTGCCACACAGCTTGCAGGACCTTAGTGTCCTGACTAGGGATTGAACCCAGGCCCACAGCAGTTAAAGTGCGGAGTCCTAACCACCAGACCACCAGGGAATTCCCCACCTACCCAGTCTTGAACTGCCCACTGCTGGACTTTGTTTGCCTAAGAGAGTAATAGACTTTCGTCTTGTTTAAGACCTGTTATGCTGCATTTTCTATCATTAGTTAAACTCTATAAGGAGCAAGACTGGCTTTCATGAGACTGTCATAGGCAGGTGTTCAGAGTTGTGCTGTGAAGTCATTTGTCCTTGTGGAATTTTGGGGGATAGATTCATGGGTGGCTTGGGACCTGTGAGGTCCTGTGTGTGGCTTCAGGAGTGGTAGGTGTTGTCAGTCGCTCTCCTAAGGTCCACTGTGTACCGGCAGACCGTGTGTAGCAGCAGCCCAACAGGAATGGTAGGTAGTGTAATTTCTGCCATCTCTGGCAGGGACAGTGAGGTTTTGTCAAAAGAGAACTTACTTGCAGATTCCTAGCCATCACCATTTCATATTCATATTTTGAGCTTAAATACGTCTCTGTTTGACCTAAGAGCAAAGATAAACCTTCCTTCAAATCCTAATAATTACCTAAGAACATCCAAGTATTCTTAAACACTTAAGCACATTATTAAAATTTAGTGGAGATTTGAAAATGGTTCTGATGGCATATGTTTTAGAAGAGGATTTAAAAATTGTTTAGAAAGAAAGCTTATCAATGTGGAACAATTTTATGACAACTACTTAGACTCTAGTCCTCTCTTTGATGGAAGTATTTTTTACCACCTCTTTAAATCTAGTGGATTCGTTTCATTTTGCCTTGTCTTCCTATATATTTTTATCTTAAAGAATAAAGAAAAATAAATAATAAAAAGTGTCTGAAACATAGTAGTGCAACTAGGACCATGGTGTGTTATACCAGCCCATAGAATATACGTGACCTTAAAAGTGATATTTACCTGTCCTCTATAGTTGAAGGATAACAAAGTGTTTTCTGGATTTGCGAGAGTGTGTTTCTTGTGAATAGATAAGGGTCTTAAATTTCTATCCTGAATAATCTTCTTGGTTACTGAGAATGTCTCAACTTTTGATAGTGTAGCTCTTTATCATGTGAAATAGTGTCATTGGTTTCTGGTATAAACGAATATGTTATGCATGCTGATATTTTTGTTGTCTCCCTCAAAGTAAATCTGCTCTTTCTGGTCATTTTCATGTTGTGCTTGGAAGGAAGAGTTGGGAGTTTGTTAAGGGGTGATTTTACCCCTGAAAATCATCTGAACCAGTTTAAAGGCCTCTTCTCTAGTGTACTGGGAATAAATCAATAGACGTGGCAGAAGAGGGACTTAGTAAAAGGCTCCCTTTCAAAACCATGAAGCAACAGACACATTATTTTTTTTAATACGAATCATTAAACTTTGACAATTATAACACATATTATAATTAAACATTTTAGAGTTACGTGTCTCTAGGTTCCTTTAATATGTCTAACTCTTTAAGGCTATAGCAAACCAAAGCCATTATTGGTAAAATTAAATTGTATTTTGATTGCCCTACTTAGCATTAGAGAGTTGGGGGTTAGAATGATTTAACTCTATGTAAAATAATTTAACTCTGAACAAACTATTTTTTTTATGTTGCTTCATTTCATAGAAAAGGCAGAGGCACAAGCGTATTGTTGAATTATCTCTAAATCTTACAATGAAGGCCCACGGTCTCAATTAGAGTGCTATTTTCAGAGGCTAAGGGAGCCTCTGGGGGGGAGCTGGTTCCCAGAAGGGAGTTCATTCCTGAATTATTTGGTCACTGGTGTTACTCCCAAGACTTTGTGTGAATTATCTCGGTTCTTTTCTCCTTCCTTATTTATATCTAGCCAACATCAAATGCTGGAGATTCTTTATTTTAGAAAGCAGTTCTGCTTCCTGTGTTTTGCAAGGTAGATATCCACATGGTCATTCATCTTATTTTTAAATTAGCTGCACCTGTATCTTCACGTGCTTTAGGAGAATTCCGTAGAGAGTGTACTGAATCGTGGGACCTCTATGTATCTAGCTTTGCCCCGACCATCCCATCCTTACAGTTCTAAGTTCTGTTTTCACATCTTGTTCCTTATTTTATCTAAAGTCTGATTGAAGAAGAGTGTATTTTTATTTAAAGACTTCCTGGTTAAAAAAATTTTCATCGTGTCCCATTTCAACGTTTAACACCCTCCATGCTTTGTAGAAGACTCTTGAATCCAAATTTTGGGAAAAACTTTTTTTTCTCACATAGGGACTCAAATTCCTTTTTGGCATTTGCAAACATCACCTCTCTCTTCCCTTTCCTATCTTTTGCTACAGTCTGGGAAGTGTAACAGATGCATGCCATGGAGCTCAAGCCACACCAGGTCTGTCTCTCTGTCTGTCCATCTCTCAGGCTCTCCATATGGCTTTTGAGTGTTGTGCTCAAAATCTCAGACTTCTCTTTAGGGAAGAGGGAGCATTACCTTTGGGAGATCTGGGATCACATATTTACAATTCTTAGACCCCAGAGAAAGAGGTGCTGGTGAGACTTTATGAATCCACCATGTGTCTGGCTGTGGGAGGAGGTCCTGTGATTTGCAGCTGACCAGAACATGTAGTGGAGGAGAGGCTCCATTCCCCAATGGAAGGTAATGAGGTGCTATTTCCAGTGGGAGGAAAGGGATGCTGGAGAGACGGAAATAACAGATGTCTACTGCAGGCAGAAAACTATAAATAACTAGAACCTTGTATGTCTATGCCCACGTCTCTATAGCTATACGTATATCTGCAGCTACATATCTATATATGTGTCAATATCCACATCTGTCTGTATCTATATTCACCTATTGTCTGTGTAATGTTTATTCTGTAGCACCTTGGAATATGTTTCTGTTAAAGATGATCCATTATTTGAATGTAGCCACTGGATAAATATTTATTGAACACTGACAGTATATACAGTTCCAAGAATATAAGAAATCAGGTTCAAATGGTTCAAATCAGGTTCAAATGTCCTCTATGTCTTATTTTTTTCCCTCAGCCATTAGAATTAATGTTGCTTCAAAGCAGGTGAAATATTCTTACAACACTTTGTACACGGTATGCACATATGATTTATGAACTTTTTCTTTATATGACGTTGGCAGGAGGAATACTCCTGGGAGAAGACGTGTGACACTTTATATAATTTAAAGTGTTCTTGTATTGCAGATATAAAATTTCTCACCTGAAATCTGAACTTTTCAATTTTTTAAAGCTAGTGTTTCTAGCCGTTGGTTTTCTTTTCATTACTGAGGAAGATGCTGTTCCTCCAGAAAATATTGTTGACTTTATTTGCTGAGATACAGATTATCCAACTAATTTTTAAAGCATGAGTCTGGTAAATAAGCTCAAGATTAATATAGAAAAATATGACTAAGTAATAAAGATATTTATGTAAATGAGCAGTTGTTTTATTGTATTTGGAAATGGGTTCTGAAATTTTTTTTATTCCAGAGAATGCAATACAGTTTTTTTTAAATGTTATATGTAGAATAGTTTGAGTCTCTGGTCTAAAACATGATCTGTAATGACGGGATGAAAAACATATCCATTAGTAGCAGCAGTTTTATAGTAGCCCCCATATTTACTTTTATTAATTTTCACTTTTTCAACTTAAAATGAATTAACCATCTTGATGGTTTGCTCTAGGGGTTACTGTGTGAAATTATGAGTCAAAATGATTATGGTGCAAATGGAAAACATAGAGTTTATGACCTTTCAAACAGTTAAACTAGTTTCTGAAATAGGACTGTATGAATTCTACTTCTGAAATGTTTCTTCATATCATGGTACTTCATATATTATAAATTCTGTGGTGCAATTACATATATAAAAATGAGATTCAGGATTTATTCACTTCCAGCCGCTATTTGGGGACAAGTGAATAAAAGACTCCTCGAACTGTCTTGGGGAAAAAGAAAAGAAAGGGATCATTTCTTGACTCATATAACACATCCATGCTCAGGCTGGGGTAGATCTAGTCTCAGGATAAATAAAACCAGGGCCTGAAAGCGTAACTGACCTCAGTCACTCTATCTGTTGGTCTGTTCTGTCTGTTTTTCCATCTGTAGGTCTCTTTACTTGGCTTTTATGTGCTGGTACTCAGGGTATCGGATTTCAGGCTTCTTTATTTGGGGGGGAGTATTAACTTTGGGAAATCTGGGATCAGGTCTTTACAGTCTTCAGACCCAAGGGAAAGAGATGCTGGTGAGAGTTGAGTTCACCCTGTGTCTGGCAGTGGGAGGTGGTGCTGAGGTCTCCAGCCAGCAGAACATGAGGGGGAGGGTCATTTCCCCAGGGGAAGGTACACGAGGTGCTATTTCCAGTGGGAGGAAGGGATGTTGGAGAGACAGAAATTAAAGATGTTTACTTTCAGAAAGAAAACCTTTTGCATATTTTTACCAGTTTAGAGCCTCATGTGAATTACTGAGTACCCCAGAACTTGGTGTCGGAAGTTACTTATGGGTCTTTAAATGCAAAGTAGCGTGATAATGAATAGAACATCTACTGGCATCAAAGAATCCGAATTAGAATCCCAGCCTTACCTCTTAGTAGCTCTGTGGCCTTTCTTATGGGTTGAATCGTGTCCCTCCAAATTCATATGTTGAAGTCTGACTGCCAGGACTTCAAAATGTGACCTTATTTGGAGATAGGGTCTTTATAGAGACCCTCATTTTTAAGTTAGAATGAGGCCCTTAGGGTGGGCTCTAATCCAGTATCACTGGTGCCTGACACAAAGGGGAAATCTGGACATAGAGACAGACACACACAGATGAGAGATGATGTGAAGACGGCCATCTCAAGGCCAAGGGGAGAGGCCAGGAACAGATTCTTTCCTTAGGGCCCTCAGAAGAAACCAATGCAGCCAACACCTTGAGCTTGGACTTCTAGCCTCCAGAACTTTGAGACAATACATTCTTTTTGTTTAAGCCACCCAGGTTGCGGTACTTTGTTATGGTGGTCCTAGGAAATTAATACAGCCTTGAATATCTTACTTCAATTTGTAGAGTCACTCAATAGATATTAACACCTTTACAAATCCCTCTCTTCTTCCTTTACCTCTTTCCCTTATTGTTCTATAGTCTGGAAAACTGCTGACAAGATTTGTGTCCTTCTCTGCCCTTTTCAAAAGTAAAATAGATTTTAAAAGCATCAGGATGCCTCAGTACAGATCCAGGTGAGAATTCAAATAACCTGCCAAGGAGGAGGAGGGGTAGAATGGTTTAATAAAGGAGGAAGTGATCGCTTTTATTGTGCAGATGATCACACTGCATTTTAACTGACATTTTATTAAGTAGGGAGATGCAGTATCTTCAGAGTATAGGTGCTCAGGGGGTAGGCTCTAGAGTTAGACGACCTGCATTTTAAATCTCAGTTCTGCCATTCACTATGTAATCCTGGGTCATTTATATAATTGCGATGTATCTTAGTTTCCTCGTCTGTAAAATGGGGATAATCATAGCTGAATTAGGGTTAAATAAGTTAATAAGGACAAAGCTCGCAACAGTTCATGGACCACAGTAAGCTTTCACCACGGGCCGGCTTTGGCTATTAATCTCCTCTTACTCCCTCTCAAGACTCTGGAGGCAGGAAGACTATTGTGAATGTTCCAGGGTGGGAAAGGGTAGACTGTCCTTTCCCACAACATCTACCATCTAGATATACTTCTAAATAGCATCACTGTAACACTGGCTTGGGAACTTAGCATTTTAAAGGCTCTCCTATAAACAGAAGGAGGCAGAACATTCATGGGGCATCTCATTGTTTCTCAAGGCAAAGAAACCCAACGACCTGTTTCCCTCTTGGCTAAAATGTCTATACAAGCATCTCAGGAATTCAGGGTAGGATTACCCAGGAAGCACAGGAACATTATCCTCTCCCTGACTCATTTATCCATGCACACAGCTCCGACTATAATTTGGGTCCTTTATCTTTAATACCTGGGCACCAGTAGAATGAATGCCCTTTGTACAGGCAACACACCTGGGAAATGCCGCCGTACGCTCCCTAATGAAAGTGATGCATAGAACAAAAGGCAGGCGATGGGGTCTTCACAGGGACACCAGAAAAGCACCAGCTGCTCCTGTGATGATAATGCTGAGAAGGCCGCTAATACCTGAACACATCAACCTGGTCAAACACACACATTTCCCAGTTTAAACCTTGGCTTCATCAGTGGGACAATACTGTACCGGTAACCTTGCGGGAGGACAGACTAACTCAATGATATAACTGCCTGTGATGTAATTGATAGCTCAGGTATTGGTGCAAGTCAGGCTAACAGTGTTGTTTTTTTTTTGTCCTTGGAAACTTTGCCTGTGTCCCGACGACGTAATGGAGATTTGTGTGGTCTGTTTTCAAAAATTTGGAAATTATTCTCACATTTGATCTGCAAATAAGTTGCAAATAAAATGCATTCACTTGCAAGATTTTTACGACTTATCCTAAGGCTATGTATAATGCTACATGTTGTGTCAATGCCCGCTAATATACCAAAGCAAATTGATTTATTTTGTGTGTGGCTACATTTTAACATTTTATTTAAATTTTCATTTTTAATTTGTTTTAGACCCAGCCTCCTTTCCCCCTCCCCCAAGTAGGTCTGTGGATCAAACAAATTTGTACAGTAGCTCAAAGGAATGATTTCACTGAGCCAATGTATAGTTTTCCCCCTTAAATTGCTGGTCTAGAGCTACACATGATAGCGCCCATATTTCTTACATACGAATTCTGATGGCCTCATGGGGTCTGCTCTGAAATCTAACTTCACGGGGAAACCAAATGATCAAGGCTAAGAAATCAGCCCCAGGTATGCCGTGAAAAGGGAAGGGATTTCTGTCAGTACACTTCGTTCATTCTGTTCTCTGTCATATTGTATATATTTACATATTACATAGAATTATGAATACCAAGTCATTCTTAAAAATTACTCACACTTTTAATACTTCTACCTTAAATATGGCATTTCTTAAAGCTTTCTCACTTGTCACTTGTTTTCTTAAAGTTCTCATTTTCACTTACACGTGTATTTTTCATCTACATGTGAATGTTTTACAATTTCTATCCAGAGCTTCAGCTCTGCATCTCCAACTGCTTCTTAAACAATCCACGCACAGCACATCTAGCAAAATCAATACTGTTTTTAGCTCCTCCTAGGAGCCAAGCACTCTGCTAGGCCCTGCTAAGATACAGTGAGGAATTAGGCATGGCCCTGTCTTCTGTGAATCTCTAATAACCACATATAAAGAGCTTTAATAAGGCACATTGTAATAAACAATGAATGGGTTCAACTACGCGTTTTCCGATTTGGGAGAGAGAGATCTTGACTTTTACTGGGGGGATTTGGGAAATGTTATGGGACAGATAGGATGGAATAGGGCAGACTTTGACAGATGCAGGAAGGAGGGCAAGGGGGAAAGGGAGGGGCCTTAGTGTAAGAAGGAGGCTGAAAAGCTCACACAGTCTGAGGATCAGTGAGGGGCTGCTGCCCACTTGGAAGTGTCTCGGGCAGAGTGGGTGGAGGCGGAGGTCGGGGAGCATCAGGTGAGGGGCAGAGGCAGGCAGGCTCACGCCATCCCCTGGGGCTTTGAGTGCCAGGTGGGAGAGTCAGTGGAAAGGCCTGGGAGGTGGAGTGTGGACGTTAGGAAGGGCCCCTGAGGACGGAGGGAAGGATGGAGTTGAGACAGATCGTAGGCAGAGACTGGTCAGTGCTTTCAGGCAGATCCTCAAGCTGAGTGTCACCCTTCAGTCTGTAACGTGGGGCTAAAGGAATGGGTGTGAGGGTAAATGAGGATGCGTATACAGTAGCCATCACATATGTGCCTGGCAGTTACTTAGTAAGCGTTCCAAAATTTTAGCTAATATTTTAAATTATTATTGATATAGCACAGTTTTTGATAGATTCGACTCAGTATAGGGCGTATTGATTCATCCCGCTATCCATTGAATCAGTAAGTGATTCACCACCTACTTTGGCCAGTTACCTTCTAGGCATTGGGGATGTAATTGTAAACAAAAAGTTTCTGACTTCTTGGAGATTATGGTCCACTGAAGAGAGTCAAACAATGAGCAAGAACACGAGTAAATGCTACATTGGGTGGTGATAGGTACTAGGGACCATCCACGTGGGTTTGCCTGGAAAAGTCCTGGTGTATGTGTCACATGTAGTAGTCACAATAGTGGCTCCTTTCAGTCCTGTAAATGTCTCTTTGGCTGGTAAATTATACGGTCACCCACGCAGAGAGAACGACTGGGCAGGGGTCTGGGGTGGAGGTTACTATTTTATACAATGGTTAGTTAGGGAAGGTCTCACTATTAAAATGTCCTCTGAGCGAGGAGAGAGGAAGTGAGCAATTTGTATATCTGAGAAAAGAAATTTCCAGGCAAGTGCAAGAGGCCCTGAGGTGAGAGCATGCTTGACATGGTCAGAGATTAATAAGGAGGCTGGCATGGCTGGGGATGAGTGAGTGAGGTAAAGAATAATAGGAGATGAGGTCAGAACGACCCAATCACCTACGTCCTTGGAGACCAAGGTAAATACAGAGCATAACGACTTGGGCTTTAGTCTGAATGAATTTGGAGCCAATGAAAAATGTGTGCAGAAGAGTGATATGAATTAACACATTTTAAAAGAATGATCCTGTACTATCTTTGGATGGCAAGGGTGGAAGCAGAGAGATGAATTAGGACAGTGTTGCGAGGATCAAGGCAGGAGATGATGGTGGCTGGAAGCAGGGTGGTAGCAAGGTTAAATTACGCATAATTTGAGAGTATGACTGACAGAGTTTGCTGTGGATTGAATGTGGGGTGGAGAGAAAGAGGGGAAATAAGAAGGACTCCAAGATCTTGGGCCCGAGCAACTGGAAGAATGGATTTGCCATTTAGAGAAAAGGCAAAGATGGTGAGATGAGCAAATTTAGTGACAAAGGAGGAGGGATATTGGGAGCTTGATCTTATTAGCTCTCTCTCTATTAGGGATCCAGTGGGAGGTATAGGGTATTCAGGTGGGTGTATGAGTTTGGAGTTAGGAGAAGTCCAGGCTGGAGATATAAATTTGGGAGCCTTGGAAGTGTAAGTGGTACTTAAAACCACAGGACTGGAAGAGACCACCTATGAGGGGAGTATAGCCAGAGAAGAGAAGAGGTCCGCCTAAGGACTGGGCCTATGACCACATTTGGAGGCTGGGCTGATAAGGAGTAGCTAATAAGGTGGAGGGAAAGTGCCTTTCCAGTGGCCAAGTGAAGGATAGATGTCAAGAAGGAGGAAGTGAAGAGCTGTGTCCAGTGTAGCTGACAGGGCAAGTGACAGCATGGAGCTCAATGGTAACTCTCACGGGGTTTGTTTTGGTGTTAAATGAGTACCAAATATATTGTCAATACTGTAGGCATTGTAATATAATTTCCTATAGTACTCAGTTTCCACATTCTCATTTCCTAACCATTAACCTAGAATAAGTAATAAGTGGTCATTTGGGAGGTCCTCTCAGACAGGTGTGATTTTAGACACCAGGAAGATAAATGCTTACTTTCTTCTGAAGAACTCAGGAATGAACAACTCCCCACGAGCCATTTCCGTGTTTGATCAACCTGAAGTTGAAGACACTTTTCTTTATGTTTAACTGAACTCTATCTATAGGCCCATTTCTTCCTGTTGGGCCCTCTGCTAATATGGGGCGCCATTAATCACCACCACCTTCCAAAAAATGCCCTTTGTGTCCTCGAGACCAGACACCAGATCATCTACTCACCTGCCCTTTTTGAGGATAAACAACACGGCTGCCTTTCATCTTCTCCAAGAACCCCTACTTCTCCCCTCTCCATGTGCTTGAAGATCGCATGTTAAGTAAGTATGGTCTCCTCGGGGCCCTCTTGCCCCCTAGGCCTGCAGACAAAATTATTTATGATATTCATAATCCATGAGCATATCTTTACTTAGAAGAGGCAAAAGAATGAATTTCTCTGGATCTCAGATTCTGTCACAGACCTGTTCAGTGGTATACACACGCAAAGAGTGCATATGTGTATGTCTGTGTGTGCCTGCGTGTGTGTGTGTGTGTGTGTGTGTGTGTGTACTGACAGTGAAAGAGAGAGAGTGAGGGAAGACCTGACCTACAGTTTAGCTCAAAGAGAATCACTTCGCCTCTGGTGGCCCCTTGCCAGCCAGCGTGGTTGGCTGGCTGCTGTCATTTATTAGCAAGATTTTGTATTCCAGTATATCTGTGTGCCCTTGAAATGTCTGAAGGATTTGTCTTGCTTCCAAAACAGATAACAAACTGGAGCTTTGTCCAAGGAGCTTGGCTTCCTAAAACTGCTATTCACTTTTGTCCTGCTTCCAAAACATCCCTTGTCTATCCCCCAAGTCTGAACCTTTGGGCCATCAGAAATAGTGACAAGTGGGCAGAAAAACCACCTTAGCAGGAAAGTACGCAAAATTATAGGTGCCTCAGAAATCGAGTGTCTCCTTCGTAAGGATTTTGCAGGGTTACGGCTGAAGAGAGGCCTCTAACTCACCAAGCTTTCATCAATTGCAGAGGGTTGTTTAGCTGGTTGAGACTTTACATCTTTTGACACTAATAACACCTCATGCATTCAGTTCAGTTTTGGCCACTCCTCTTGGCTAGAGAACTGATAGGTTAATCATAATCTAGGGTTTATAAACCCTGTGACTTTAGTTTTCCCATATGTAAAATGGAATGTCCCATAATCGTGAACTGTAAACGCACTTTGGTATGTGTTAAGGCCAAAGCTCTGTTCAGTGAGATGCTTTATTTGTGTGGACAGCACACAGGATGGGAAACTGAGGCACCTTACAAAGAAGGTTTATAATTGTTTGGCCAGATGCCCTAATTGTATCTGTGTCTGCAATAGCTGATGCTGTGATCCGCTTCGATATTCCAAAGCCTTGATTTTCTCAAAGGTTAAAGCTGAAAGTAAAAGCAACGCTGCTTTGTAATGTCTATTGATCCTGAGTTGATGATAATGTCTTTGGCATCGTGGGGGAATCATTGCTTATCCTGACAACAACAGTTTGCATTTCACCTTAGCTACTGAGGCTATTCAGTGGGCAGGCAAATGTTCTCTGGAATGTTCTTCTTCCAAATGGCTCACATTTAACTGCACGAAATATGTTAAAATGAGAGGCCTCCACGTCAGAAATCCACAAAAGCAAGAGAGAGAAAATCCAACTCCTCTGTTCTTATCTCACTCGTGCTGACTGCAGAGGACTCCGAACAGTAAGGAGACAGAGATGAAATTTATCATCAGATAAGCCTTCCAAAAGACCAGGTGGGTGAAGGAAAGTGTCTTTCTCTAGTAGATGATATTTTCCATAGGGCAGGGTAAGGCTCCCAGACCCTAGAATCACTGCATTTCTCCCTTGCTGAGCTTTGCAGAGCAAAGCATGCAATGATGCACAAATGTGGACTGAAATTTTTTAAAATGTTCACTGACCTTTCGGGAGCTTTCATGCTGTTTAAGAATCTACTGACCTACAGGAAATTACTGCACGTAAATGCCCAGCTTCTGCTGGGAATTCAACTCCAGGCTCCTGCCTGCTGCTTCTCCCCTTTCTACCTTTCCCCCAGCAACCCTGTTCTGCGGCAAGACCCCAACTGCTTCAGCCCACAGGGAGAGTGTGGGGCGAGCTCCTCGCCTGGGCTGGCTCTGGACTGCTGTTTGCTTGCACACATTCAGTTACCAGGAAATGTGGAGTCAGCTCTGCCCCTGTTCCACTTAATTTTCTTCACCCCATGCACTGGGTTTTTCTCTTCTGCTGCCCCAGCTGTTCTTGCTTTTCCCAGGATGGCAGAGCCCGCCCCTGCTGCAATCTGTGCTTCCTACAAGGTTCCTTAGTTGCCTACTTGACCTCAGCTGCCTTGCCTTGAGTTTTCATTTCCCAAGCCTTCCAAACCCTCCCTGAAAACCTAGCGGTAGCAGCCGCAGCCTCAGCGAGTGACGAGGGCACTTATGGAGGTGGGGTCAGGGCACTGACGCAGGAGTCAGACCTGGGTTCAGATTCTGCCTCCGTTATTGCTCTCGTGGGCAAGCTGCTCGCCCCTTCTGAGAGCCTTGGGTTCTTCAGTTGCAAAGAGAAGATAATGTCAGTCTGTTGTAAGGATGAAATAAAATAACATACGAAAATTTCCAGTACATAGTGGCGCCTCCCAGCGTACCTCTTCACCTCTGCTTCCCTTCCTGAAAGTATGCTTTGCTCGAGGCAGGGTTCTGGGGTCTGTGAGCAAATGCACAAGATAAACAGCAGGTATAAACTCTTTGAGGATGTGAGCTTAAGTGGGAGAAAAGCTCAAACTGACTCCAGGTTTTAAATGAAATTTGAAAGATAACGGAATTCCCTGGTTGTCCAGCGGTTAGGACTCTACGCTCTCATTGCCGAGGGTCTGCGTTCAATCCCTGGTCGGGGAGCTACGATCCCACAAGCCTTGCGCATGGCCGAAAAAAAAGAAAAAGAAAAATATAAATACAAAAAAAAAAAAAAAAAAAAAGCTACCACAGGGCAGAGACAATTGAGGAATTAATGTGAAAGACAATGTGCTATAGGAATTGACTCTGGAATGATTGAGAAAGATTTTATGGAAATGATGCAGTTTAAACTGGGTCTTCAAGACGAGCAGAGTTTTAATCAAGTGGAGAAAGGAGGGCGTGATGGGCAGAAGCAACACTGCACAAATGCACAGAGTCGGGAGAGTGCAGGTATTGGGAGCACGGAGGCCCTATTCTGCCTGGAACAGAGGGTTGCTTCTGCAGCGGTGGGGAAATTAGATGACAGTAGTGTTGGGACAGGGCTTCTTTGCCAGATTTAACAAGTAAAAATTTAGGATGCCCAGTTAAATGTGAATTTCAGAAAAACAACAAATAATTTTTCAGTCTAAATTATGTCCCAAATACTGCATACTTATAATAAAAGAAATGTATTTGTTATTTTTCTGCAATTCAAAGTTACCTAAGCATCCTGTATTTTACCTGACAACCCAACCTTATACGCCAAGCCAAGGATTCTGCCCTTGACCTTGCATCCCTGAGGGTTTTAAAGAGAAAGGTGAACTGATGAATAAAGCATTTTAACAGAGATCCGCTTGGTAAAATGCCAGAATGGCTTGGAGAGAGAGCGAGCTTAGAGGCAGGAAGGTTGGCCCTTGTGGATTCTCTTCCAGTTTAAACCCTTGCTCTCATACATACATACCAAATTCTCTTGATAGCGTAAAAGCCAAAGATATATTTGTTTTTTTCTGCAATTTGGAAAATTACAAAATATGAGGATGCTGGATGAAAGTTTAGTGCCTAACCTGAAAGTGTTTCTAATTAACATTAATCCAGGCTCTGAGGACTATTAATACAACCCGCAAAGAGCTGGCATCAGGAGCCCACCATATACCATCAGTGGAGGGGGACCACCCTCGTCTCTTTCTAGAATTCTGTTAGTGAATCTTAGTGATGAAGATTTTTCCTGGGATGCTATTGCTTTGGTTTGATTTAGAGTCCACAAAGAAAAGGAAGAAGTTTAAATAGTAATGTTCTCCTTGGACATTTCTTTAGACAAACTTAGAAAAACACTAGGACATGTTTTAATTCATTTTTAGAGGTTTATCTGGTTGCCATTTAAAATTAGGTTTCCCTATTGAATTCCTTTTTACTCTCAGTGGAAAAAAGCATATCTTTAGGTTTTTTTTTTTTTTCTGGATAAAGGAATTTCTAAGGTTATGATTTTAAGACAGCTTTTGAAATGGATTTTTCTCTTTTTATCGTGCTTTATCAAATTTATGGAATTTGATCTAATTTGCTGAAATTCAGCCTCTTGAAAACTAACAGTATTATACATCTTGTTGATGGTTTATTTCCTCAAGTGGTTTTACTAAATGTTTTCACTGAAAGAGAAGAGACCCAGGCAACTCTTCCAATCCTGAAACTGATTTGAAAGATGCTGAAAATATGTATGCGTATGCAATTTTTTTTCATTAGTTAAATACATCAAAATATGTATTTGCAGAATCTTATTAGTATGGAAAATTCAAGTGCTTACCTTTATCAGCAGGTGCAAGGACAGGTAGAAATTAATATCAGATGCTCTGATACAATGGTCAGTTGAGATCTTATTCTCAAAACGTTTTAGTGAGGACACAAGGTGCATGTACCTAACAACCATATCTTTAGAAGCACTGGTGATTCTCATTTTTATTATTGATGAGCAGTCTTTGCTACCCAGTGTCTGAAGTTTGGGGCAGTGTCAAGCAAATTGCTTTTAGCATGGGATGCTTTCTCGCATATAAACACTTAATGTGTGTCCCCAAAAGAAACATGATTCTGTAACTACTTACTTTACCTTCCAAAGGTGATGTTGTTTCTTGAAATGAGGACGTTCAGATGCAAAGACGCAGATGATAAAAAGGCACCTCCATTTGACTGTCGGGCTAAAAATCAACACAAGAAACCTAATCAGTAAAAAATGCCGTGCAGAGCCTGCAGGCGCTCCTTCTAGAGGACAAACTTAGAAGGCCCGCCAGTTCAGAATGCGCCATCGAGTTCACAAAGGTCACCCAAGTCTGCCAAGGTGCTGATGCAAATCTACTGGCTGCAGTGACTTGCCAGTGTTGAGTGCTGGCCACGGACACATCTCTCTCATCCCCCAGGAGATAGCAGGGATGAATCTGCTAACCAGGGAAATGCACTTTTCCCAGTTTCTGTGCTCTGAGCTCAGGAATTTGAGACTAAGAGACCAGAATCAGCTGATAGGTATATACTAACGCCCAGAGTTTAATTGTGGTTGAAGATTTTGCTCCTTCACTTGGTTGGAATTTTGAGTACCCTTCTCTGTATAGCTGGAATCCTTATCGTATAGTTACTGAAGGAAATTCTTCAGGATTATTATGCAAATGAATTCAAGTTTAGGAAAATTGGCCTTCCTTCCAAATCCCATTTCTAATTCTATGGATTTGTCTTGGAATTATTTTTGAAATGCCCTTTACTCTTTTGACCTCCTTCACCGCAATTTCATTGTCTCAAACACCTTGGGTTGGTTTTGTCCTTATTTACCAATGTCACATTCTCCTTCACAGCCATCCCCTCTACTTCCTCCCCTTCCCCTTACAGAATGAGGTAAAAATACATAAATGCTTGTAGCAAACGAACACAAGAGTTATTCCAGGACAGAGTCCCATGAAAGCTAAAGCCAGAAGGATAAAGCAAAGCAGCCATCTTGATTTTTTTCTGAGCTTATTCCCAAATTCCCTTCCCAAATTTTGACTTAGGGACCATTGCTTATTTTCATGACTACCTAAGTTTTGTTTCCCTGGCTTAAGTTCCTTCTTTCATTCCCTCCAGATATATCGATATGTATTGGCATCTACCTATCTATCTGGGTATGCATTTTATAAACTTTCAACTAGTTTTATTGGAGACAAGGTGTGCTGGGATAAGTTCTAAAGAAAAGCTTTAGGTTGGCTCAGGGGTAAGAAGATCAGCATTTCCTTTCATGTAGAGAAGATTCCTAAGGCCTACTTTCTGATATCTTCTTAAATAATGTGGGACGATTGAGTCTTTTAAAAAATAGACCTAATGCCCTTTGCCTGGGGCTAGCAAAAAGCCTTTTTTTGAGGTGAATTAGTTTGACTTTTAAAAATCTATATCATATAAGCTAAGGGTCCTTGAGAGAAGATGAACTGACATGCACACACCTTGTTTTTGGCCCCCAAGTATGATTGAAATATGCATTTTCATTTCATATAAAGTGAGAATTTTATAAATTGTTGGTTAATTTTTAGGGTTTTCCAAATCTGTCAGTCTGCCACATGCGTTGAGCGGGAACTTTCATGAACACAATGCATTAAAAAATTAGTTATTCATTGCCAACTAAGATGCTTCTTGACCCAGCCGAGAGGTCAGCCACATTACCCATAAAAGTCATTCCGTTAGCGTGTGGAGCAACAATGGTTTTTATAAAAGATGAAGTAAAATGTGTCATTTTCCTGTTAGAGAAAGCAGTGCTGTGTCAGATCCGGAGGATGGTTCTCTGGGAGATGAGGCTGAAGCTCGGGGTAGCAGCCATAAGGACGGTGGGAAGTGATAAGACACGTGCCACTGTTGAAACCAAATAGGAGTCCGCATAAGTTGAGGAAACCTACAGGAGACCCAGAGGGTGTCTGTAGCATGTGGGAGCCCCGAGCTGTCCCAGAAAGGTGGCACCCTGGTATGCCAACCGTCTTCCTCCTCCATTTGATATTAACAATGTGCTAAACACAAAGCCGTGTATTAAAAAAAATACCCTTTAGCAGCTCATTAATCTTCTCCTTGGATTACATCTTTTTTAAATATAGGAAAATATTGCTGTTGCAAATGACTGTATAAAAATTTTAATACTTTGGAAACCTCCTAGAACCCATTTCAACGATTCCTTGTCGAATGAGTGTATCTCTCGTCCCTAGATCACTCTTACAGGCTAAACCAAGGGATGCCTGTATTAATTCCCTTTTGTGAAAACAGCATCCAAGTGTTTTACAGACTGAAGAATGTAGTGAGTAGAATCTGCTGCTTTAACATCATTCCCGCCGAGCTAATGCAGCACAGATTGGAGTTTCTGGAACAAAGGTATCATGTGCTGATATATTTTACTATTTTGACACAAAATGTTTTCTGTTGTGTTGAGGAAGCTGCATGTAACCTGGTGTCCTATGTCCTCTAAAATAAAAATTAACATAAAATAAAAAAGGTTAGCATTACAAACATTTCCTGTGCTCCAAATGAAGGCAACGTGATGCAATCTGAAATCCTCCCAGCAGAGGGCCCTATGGGTTTGATTTAGGTGGAGAAAGAAAGTGAGAAAAAACTACTTGGGTTTAGGTTGCTATAGTAAATGCTGTAATGTCCTTAAAAATAGAACTGATAAAAATGGAGTCAGTTGAGTTGAACTGGAAGAATCATCTAAAGATTAAATGTAAGGTCTCCTCTTATAAGACAGAATTTCATCATTCTCTGAATTGATGTTCTTTTCGAAAGACAAAATACATTTTACCATCTCTAAATAAGAAAGTAGGCAAATTAGAGATATTCCATGCTTTGAAGTACTATTAATATTACCTCATTCAGTTACATTTTAAAAGAAAAGAGGAGCTACTGCATTCGTTCTCCCTTTGGAGACATTTTATCTTTGCTGTTGGCAAATGATTTAGTGTTGCTGTAAGGAGATGTGGTATGTACATAAAATACACTGTAAATATTTAACGCACAGCGTATATATGTGTATGCATGCAAAATGCAAAATGTTAGTAAAATATTTTACAAAGACAAGTGATACTGTTTAGAAAGGTGAAGTACAAAGGCATAAGAATAAGCTCTAGTGAAATATATTTCTTTACCTATGCATATTATGGAGTTTACTTTTTCACGTTAGGCCTAGCTTTTTATTCTATTTTCAGATCGAAGAAGCTTGCAATATATGCATTAAAGTAAAGCAAAGAAGAAACTAAAACAATAAGTTACTTTTGGACTATAGATCTTTGTCTCCTAATGTTTTAATCTCATCTCTTTCAATGTTCTTTGAAATGCATGGGCTCATTACTTTCCATGAGCAGACAGCTTTAAAAATTTTTAACCCATCTTATTACGTCTAGTTGAAAAATGTTTATTTCATTTGATGTAGCTGGCATAACTAACGTTCAATTTAAATAAATAATTTGAAGTTTGGTTATATTTCCTAAAAT